TATGGGCGATGGACGCGGATATAGAGTGGGCATTACGCACAGTTCCATCTCCACCGCAGTTTCCAGCTGGGCTGCGGTACGTGCCTGCTCTTATCCGTGATCGTCTTATCTTCTGGGCACACATGTCACCCTCCTCTGGTCACCCAGGTATCGGTCGTAGAGTGCGCTGCTTGATTGGCAAGTACTGGTGGCCTACCTTAGCTAAGGACGTGAGGGTGCACGTCTCCTCCTGCTCGGTGTGCGCCCAGAGCAAGGCACCTAGGCACCTCCCAGCTGGTAAGCTACAACCTTTACCAGTTCCACAACGAGCATGGTCTCACCTTAGTATTGATTTTCTGACTGATCTTCCCCTCTCCCAAGGTAACACCACCATCCTGGTCGTTGTTGACCACTTCTCCATGTCCTGCCGCCTCCTTCCTCTGCCCGGTCTCCCCACAGCCCTGCAGACTGCGGAGGCCCTGTTTACTCACGTCTTCTGGCACTACGGGGTGCCAGAGGATATAGTGGCCGACCGAGGTCCCCAGTTCACGTCCAAGGTTTGGAAGGCGTTCATGGAACGTCTGGGGGTCTCGGTCAGCCTGACCTCTGGGTTCCACCCCGAGTCAAATGGGCAGGTGGAACGAGTAAATCAGGATGTGGGTAGGTTCCTGCCGTCCTACTGCCAGGACCAGCCAGGGGAGTGGTCAGTGTTCTTGCCATGGGCAGAATATGCCCGGAACTCTCTCCGCCACTCCTCTACTAACCTAACACCATTCCAATGTGTTTTAGGTTACCAACCGGTTCTGGCACCGTGGCCAGATATTGTGGTGATGTAGTGTCCCCATTAGTGACAGAACACTGAGCCAATCACGGTGCAACTAGAGAACTGTCACGACTTCGGCCAAGGCTGCCTCCCCTCCTTGTTCGGGCAGGCTTCAGCGTTCGTCGTCACAGGCTTACTAACCACTGCCGCCCCAATCATCATCACAATTGTCTTGTCTTGTCAATCACACACACCTGGTTCCTATCCCCTAATTAGTCCATGTATAAGTGTTCCCTCTGCCCCCTTGTCCTTGTGGGTGATTGTGTTTTGTGAGAGTAGTGTAGCTCGGTGGAGCTACTCGTAACATTGTGTTGCCAGGGTAGATTTTCCCCTGTGCCTATGTATTATTGGATATCCGTTACAGTGTCTTTGCCAGGGATGATAGTTTCCCCTGTGCCTGTTTCGTTGATCTTTATTTGAGCGCATTTGTGTGTCTACGAAGGAATAAACTCTGTATTCGGTGATTACCCTCCTGCGCCTGACTCCTTTCCATCACACTCATCACAAGAACATTACCAATCCCTAAGCTCCATATTTTCTGCTGGCTGCCCCACCACCACAGAAAGTGCTGAGCTAGGTTGAAACACATGCATTTTGGAGCTGCCTTACTCAAGAAAGCGAAAAAGAGACCATGATTTTTTTTTTTATACATTGTTTGCAAACTAATATGTGACACATATTAATGGCAAAATAACATGCAAATCAGGCAACCCCCAAAACAGGTGGGGCTCAAAAAAGAGGGGGCTCTGCCCCACCTGTCCTGAATGACGGGTCACCACTGAAATAGGACAAACACTATTAGAATGCTACATTATCTTCAATTCAAGAAGTGGCATAACTAATAACGTGGCCAATTCTCTCTAATTCCTTCACTGCCATTGTGAGTGAAAAGATGACTTCCTGTGATAATCAGTCTAGAGTGAAGTTGCCATTTGACAATAATATTGGGTGAATTTTTCATTTCCCCCATTAATCTGTACCTAGGGGAAACTTCGCCCCAGAGTGTAATAATCATGGAGAACTAACCTGATTATACTGAGACTTCGTCCGTTCAGGTTTTATCTCACCATCACTTTGATTTTGTGACAGTAGTGAGTGGTCGAATGTCTTCGGTCTATTAAAGAGAACTCTACAGAGTGTATGACATTGCTCTGATAAGAAATGATATCCTATGGCTCAAGTGTTATAAAAGTGTATCTAAGTATAACTGTAGCTTTTTGGCAGTATTACTGCAGCAGCCCATACTACAACTCAAAAATAAACTGCCAGTTGTAAAAAAAAAGTTGTGGCAAGTGTTAAAATAAAGATCTGAGCAGTGACTTATAGAGGCACAGTTTTCATACCTCACAAGTGCTTGTTTTCTTCTTCCAGATTCAGTGTCTATTGTCAGTGTTTGACGAGAGGCAGGTCTCCCATTTCTGCTATGTTTGTCCTCTCCCACATTTTCTGCATCTGAACTGTAAGATATTAATGAAGTCAACAAAGAGTAGGCTATTACAATGATAAGAGTTGTTGTTACCGTGTAGTAGGCTATCCTGTGTATATTGTTCCATATTTGACTATTAGCATATCACCACAATCTCAATGGAAAGTAAATGACAGATATAAATATGGAAAGGTCCATTCAGTATTATTAAATAAGGAGCACTTCGAACAGCAAATAGCCTACTAAAGTGAATGTGAGATTAAAAGTTTTATTTCGATGGAAACAAATATAAAAGTTATTCTTAATATCATTGTTCGAACTCATTTGCGAATAATCGCACCAACTGTTGTCACCTTCTCACCAAGCTGCTTGGCGATGGTCTTGTAGCCCATTCCAGCCTTGTGTAGGTCTACAATCTTGTCCCTGACATCCTTGGAGAGCTCTTTGGTCTTGGCCATGGTGGAGAGTTTGGAATCTGATTGATTGATTGCTTCTGTGGACAGGTGTCTTTTATACAGGTAACAAACTGAGATTAGGAGCACTCCCTTTAAGAGTGTGCTCCTAATCTCAGCTCGTTACCTGTATAAAAGACACCTGGGAGCCAGAAATCTTTCTGATTGAGAGGGGGTCAAATACTTATTTCCCTCATTAAAATGCAAATCAATTTATAACATTTTTTACATGCTTTTTTCTGGATTTTTGTTGTTGTTATTCTGTCTTTCACTGTTCAAATAAACCTACCATTAAAATTATAGACTGATCATTTCTTTGTCAGTGGGCAAACGTACAAAATCAGCAGGGGATCAAATACGTTTTTTCCCTCATTGTAGTTATCAATGTTTAGGAAAGGACTACAGTGACAACTAACATAATGATAAAGACTTTTCACATCACTCTAAGTGATAAATACAAAAAGCTAAGTGATATAAAACCCAATATCTGTCATTGTGCAAAAGCAGTTTATACGTCAATTCAGTCAATTGTGGTTTCCTCTGTACAGTAATGTTAGAACAGCCGTATCTACACAATCACATGAAGTCAATAATGAATCAGTGCTTAAAATCCTTGCTATAGGGACAACAGGAGTGACTATTGACAGGTATTGTGTTGTTAGGCATCCCTGGTTCCTTCCCTATTTGAGAGGTGAATCTAATGGTTTGCTAGCTGTTGACTGTTGAGCTGTATTCTAGAGCGTGATGGGCTTGAAGAGAAAAAAAAATCAATAGTTTATTAGTGGTCTGACACAGTTGCTTGGATGCAAGGCTTGGCAGACAGAGGGGAATTATTGTCAAGTGGTTGGCCGGTCAATATGGTAGACTCAATATGACAATGGCATGAGGCACACTAGGGAGAGGTAACACCCTTTTTCCTGTAGTATACTCCTTTGGCCTTGTTTAAGTTAGAAGTCAATGGTTGGAAGTCTCACAAACAGAATTCTTCGCATGTCAGTGTCAACAGTGTAACATTTCATTTGTGTTACAATTGTAGCAGCCCTATCACAACCCCCAGTGTCCTCGTCAAGAGGTTAGGACCTCTTGATGTAATGGCTAAGGTGTTTGACTGACAGTTGCAGGACCCCCGGTTTCAAGTCCCATTCAGGAGACCCCCCAAATACGCTTACCCTGGCAAACCCAAGCTTACGGACCTTGAGATAGAGATATGGCATGAGATATTGAGCGGTGTTGCAATAATCGTTCACTTTTATTCACTATTAGTTCACATTTCTAATTCAAGGGATAGGGAACAATAGCAAAGCATGGCAGAAGTCTACCAGAAGACACAGAGCCCAACAAGCAACTAGACTGACCGACACAGGTGTGTTGAATCTTTATGAGCTTTGAGCTGTCCATTGGCCGTGTTGCTGAAATCGCTGATCTTTGTTTTACCTAGCACTGACTGTGGTACTGTCCATGTTGCTGAAACATTATTTACGTGTGTGCTGGTTGCATTGCACAACTTGGAGTTACCGTTAGATTGCCTTTATTTTATCTGCGGCCTTTCCTAAATAGTTAGAATAGGAACAGGGAATATAGCGACCTTAGCCTTAGTAGACCTTAGCCTGTGACCTCTTGGTGTAATGGCTAAGGTACCCAGGTTTGAGACTCCATCGGGCTATGGCAGAATACATTGAGCAATTTTGCACAACAGCATGTGTCCTCATAGCCCCATGGGGTATATTACACCACAATAATTTAGGCTGTTTTTCTTAAATACTCTATTCATTAAAGGAGATATACTGTAGGTCTACACTGAACCAAAGGTAACCTACTGACACTTTATACAGGATAGAAGGCATGCAGGCTCATATTTTGTGAGCTCTGTTTAAATCTGACTATGCCTTCCTTTTGTGAAGTCAGGGGGTATCACCGTTTTTCTGTGATAATTCAAGTCAGTCAATTTCACAATAGAATAGACTGTTAACCAGCTAGGCTGACACGCAGCCTACCACTCCCGTCAGTGGACTGCGGTTGGCAAATTTGAGAATTGACTTGAATGCTGATTTGGGGAGAGATCGACAAAGACGGGAGATTAGTGGATGTTTGAAATAAAAAAAAATGGGACGACGACGGATTGTGAGGAGCTGTCCAATTGTTCAAACGCACCTGCTTAATCAGACAGACTAACAATTCCCTCATTTCAAAATCTAGGGACACTTCAGGAAGGAATCGAGGAAATACAGATTCAGAAGAAGCAAAACTTCTAAGGGTTCTGAGCCGTCGGTCCTCGCACTGTGTGGAATCGCTGAGAGGACGCCCCAGAGAGGCATTTGAAATGAATTCAGCACTGGGCCAGGCGGTCAGCAACCCAAAGTCGAGTGATGTAACCGCTTCATGCGCCAAAGGCAAAGAGGAAAAAAAGGGAAAAAATCTAATCAGAGGCTGGAAAAGGGAGAGGGATACTTTCAGGACGAGGAAAGAGAAACATTATGGTCAAAGAAGTCCCATTATAAATTCTATACCTGACCATTTGTGCACCCTCGGAAGCAAAGAGAATCCGTGTCATTGTGCAGGGGGCGGAATGGAAGACATTACCAAAAGCGGTTTGGATTGTGGAATAAAGGGCAGCGCTATTGCTGTGAGGAAGAATGACGACACTGGCACAACCGCAAAGAAACAGAGAACAGAAAAGGTAAGCTTAATGCACGTTTTTAAAACATGTAGGCTACCGATCATTATCTTATTAGCTTAATTGTGGTGGAACAATATTTTAATATGAAAGGTAGGCTAACAGGATTATTTGGCAGATGTTTTATGCATGAGTAAGGTAGAAGCCTAATAGAGATACATTGCTATCATGGGAATCCTTTATGTGCTCAGAATACACACAGCTGTTCAAGAATGCAGTTCCAAGGGCCCTGGCCAGAACATCCCCCCCCCCCCCCAAAAAAAAAATAGGCTAAGAATGATAAACGAATATATGTACAGTGATGTGGCTACAAAGACACTACCACATTTTTTATTTACAATATATTATGTTATTTACAATATGGACAATGGTTTAATAATTCATATAATGACATGGTACCCTAAGCACACAAGCAAGCATGCAAGCAGAGAGTTTTTGCATAGCTGTGACAAATGAAAGGCTATAACCAGATGTAAACCTGGGGAATCAACATAATCTCAGACCCATCAATTGTAGCCTAACCCGATTCGTTTGTTTTATTAGCATTTCCTCTATTTTGTTTAAAATATAACTGAAACTCCACAGCAAAAGGAAGGGAAGTTTTGTCAGATACTAATTTCTTATACTTATCCTGTAATTTATGGTTAATGTTAATGCTATTGGAGGCTATTGCCCAGCATTTATTGTTCTCAGGGAACAGTCCCACGCTCCCCACAATAATTTTTACCTGAGTCTTTTAATTTGATTTATCTTAAATTGCTTAGTAGGGACAACACGAAGTCCCAACCTGCATAGGCAGTTGTTGTTTTTTATACTGATTTAATCTCATTTGTTACAAGAGAGGACACCTGTCTTTCTTCATGACAGATGCCATCAGTAATCCGTGTTTTTCACTCAGCAGCAGGGGAAGTGGAGTGTGTGAACGGTAGCCATCTTTTCTCCTTGCTCTTGGCTATCAGCTCCTCACCGTGCTGCATATTAAAATCACACATAGCCTGTAACAATGAACGCTTGTGTTGCTTTTATGGTTACAAGACAAGGCATCCGTGAGGAAGAGAAGCCCTATGTTTTGACTTATCATTGTGGTCAATGTTTGAGACTTTTGTTGAGTGATTCTGTCTGAGGGAGGGAGGGTACAGGACTGTGGCATTGCATCTTGCAATCAAAGCAGGGGAGCATGCATCATTCTTTGTTTTTGTCCATTTATAGGTATCTGATCAGACACAAACAACCCTGTAGGAATGATTTCTCTTTCAAAAGATGTTATATGCATACATTAACATAACACATTTTCACAAACATGTTCATCCCTGCATACATTTTAGTCATTTAGCAGATGCTCTTATCCAGAGTGACTTACAGTTAGTTAGTGCATCATTTTTTTTTTCATACTGGCCCCCCGTGGGAATCGAACCCACAACCCTGGCGTTGCAAACGCCATGCTCTACCAACTGAGCTACACGGGGCTATACATACAAACCTAAATAGCAAAAAGGCATGAATGACAATTTCTTTGCAGTTACAACACAGAGCAATAGTATTGCTTGTGCTTTCTTATTTGTTTTTCAGGTCATGCAAAAATGTTATTTTCACAGAATATTTCACTAAACTGCTGAAATGTGTACAACACTGTTATTCAAAGATACATACATATTGTTTAGAGGATTAATTGTCAATAGCTGCTCGTATTTTATGGAATTACCAATAGGCTTTGAAAAACAACACTTTCCTTTGTTTATTACCATCCCTATGATGAAAATAGACATGAGATTATTTATGAATTGAAGGCCAGGTTGCTTAAAGGCCCAGTGCAGTCAAAATTCAGTTTTTCCTGTGTTTAGTATCATATTGTACAACAGCTGATTAATCTAACACTGTAAAGTGTGAAAAAATGTGATCAGTGTTATTTCCTGATAGTTGCTGGTTGAAAATACAATCTATACAGGACCTTCTAATCAGCCTGTTTGCATGGGTGGGAGTTTCGGCTTGCCTGGTGACATCACATATAACAAAGAGAGTTCTAAAGCTCTCTCCCAATAACAGCTAGTTTTAAGTTTTCCCCTCCCCACTCAAACCACTCCAAGACAGTCCTAGTAAAATTCTTGCTTGAAAAATAGTTTTTTGCAAAAAAGCTATATTTTATTTATTTATGGAAAACTATTACAGTAAGGTACTTAACTGTTACCAATAAATGATTTGATATTGATATAAAAACGGCTGCATTGGGCCTTTAAGTTGAAAAGTCAGAGGTTATATTTTACTCCTCCTCCTCCTTCCCATAGGTGGATTCAATGTTCACAGTGCCTGCACCCCCGCCACCCGGCCCTCAAAGCCCAATGTCCAATGCCCCCTTCTCTTCACCCATCGCAAAGCAGCTTCTGGTGAGGACCAGATCTATAGGAACCAACACCCAAGATGGAGGGCCAGATACCGATTCATGTCACCCTGGCCCTTGTCAGCCAGGAACCAGTGTCAACCTGGAGGGCATTGTGTGGCATGAGACTGAGGAAGGTGAGGATTCCATTCCTCCAGCTCTCCTACAATTTCAGCATTCCACCATATGGTTCAGCATGTACATGATTGACCATGAATGAAAGGCTGTACAGTCGTTTATATCAGTGGGCATAAGACAGTTTATTCAGCTGTAGTATTATTAACGGTAAGCCAGTATGAATAAATATGATCTGATCAAACGTAGGCCTTAGGCATGCAGAGATGTAAACATAACAGTATTCACAGCAGCCCAAAACTAAGAGGCTTGATTTAATCTACGTTACTGAAGAAAGCAACATTGCTGGCTCACTTGAGGACTAGAGTGTCACTTATAAAACTGAATTTTGCCTTTGCACACAAAGTGATTTGTGAGCTAGAAGATGCTTTTGTATTCAAGGCTGGTTTTAGTTAAAGGATCTCTGCTGATGTAATAGTGTAACAGACCATGAGAGAATTCATCAGATGTGTGTTCTGTTTTTAAGAGGCCTAGTATTCCTGTAAAACTCGGATTTGAAGAGAAAGGCTTTTGCCGTCTTATTAGGAAGCTATGCCATGGGACCGCCCTAGTAAGACACCTTAGCGTTCGAGGGCTGCAGAGACGCCAAGTGCATATTGATTAGGCAAATGCTAATTGCAGACCACCATCTTAATATCCCCGACTGAGAGCTAAATTTTGATGAATGCATATCAAAATGCAATTGAGGGGTTTGATTTTATTTTCAGGAATGTTGGTAAATTTATATTAATTGAAAAACACATCTTGTGAAAGAGAGAGCTATTTTGTTTATCTTACCATGACATGGGCTAGTGAAAAGACAGACATTATTTTGTTTTAAATACTGTATATTGCAATGTCATTTTATTTTAGAGACAAATAATATATATCCACCCCAAACAACAGAACTCCAATAGAAAAAGTATCCCGATTGGGTTTTAGACAGTTACATGTAATAAAGTATCAATCCATAAATATATACATATTTGTTTGATTTTGTTTCAACTATATTGTGCAAATATAACAGGCGATTTAGTGTATCCAGAGGATGAACAGTGTATACAATGTGTGCTTTCTTTTTGGACATTTAAGCAACTTTTGGAAAAATTGTATGGGGGTTTTACAGGTTTTTTTCATTAGGATAAATCAAGGGAAGCTTTTTGAATTTTATTATATACATTTTAGGGAAGGATTTAAGGAAGAATTAGGACATTGAAAGTCTTTCGCAATTAAGTTGCCGATCAAGGATGGATGGATTATTATTGTCTGAGTTACACAGCCCTCCAGGGGTTAGCCTGAATGAATAAAATAAGATTACATTCCTAAGTGTGGAAAAAATATTTAGAGAAACCTAACTTATGACTGAACAGACAAATATAATGGAAATGATTCACAAAATGACTCACTTTTGCGGCAGCTGCGAAAACCATATGGAGCGTTCCATCCACCTGGACAATGGATATAGCGCATCTTTGGGAAACAACGAGTGTGCTGGATATCACGTTTGGCAATAAAACACATTTTAAAGCACACCTAAACTAAATATTTGAAAAGTTTGATAACGGCCATAATTCATACACATAGAAAGGGACCCATGAGCATTCATTTCAGACAAAAAAATGTAAATGTGAAAAATGGGCATTTATCATGTTTTGGAAATAAACACTTCAATTGCAGAGCTCATTAAAATTGTCACAGCAACAAAGACATTTTGGTTAGCAGTTCACAGATTTTAGTGTTTACTTTCAAGAAAATGAGACAGAATCCAAATTAATTTAAATGGCCATTTGCCAAGGCAAGATAAAGGTGTAAGATGCTTTCATACAAAATCACTTCTATAAAAGCATTTGAATATATTCGGCACAGTGAAATAATAATGCACAATAGCTATTTAATTCTTGATTATCTTGATTCTCGACTCTTGGTTGTCTTGGAGAAATCACAGAGGGCGATTGGTTTTTAAAATATAGTTAATTCTTCATGTAGAAAATACAAAACTACATAATTCAGCCTTGTTGGTGTTGTGGTAAGAACAAGGCTGTGTCCCACATTGTACTCTATTCCCTATATAGTGCACTACATGTGCCCTGGTCAAAAATATTGCACCATATAGGGAATAGGGTGCCATTTGGGACGTAGACCAAGCCTCCATAAAAGCCACAAAAAGAGGATCCCATCTATCAGTCTGGATGGAGGTGCAGTAGACAGCCATCATGGCTGTCTACTGCACCTCCATCCATGCCACAGTTCAAAGCACATCATTAGAACATGTATTTAATGTAACATGCTCCTTTTTTGTTGTTTGAATTGTAGGTGTCCTTGTAGTCAACGTAACATGGAGAAAAAGAACCTATGTGGGGACTCTTTTGGACTGTACCAAGCATGACTGGGCACCACCCAGGTAATTCTGATGGTAGACAGTAACTATTCATTATTTGTATAGTGTTGAAAAATAGTATATGAGTAGCCTATTTATGTTTTAGCCTTGTCTGTTGCCAAGAAAGCTGTCAGTGACTGTATTTCCTGCATGTCATTACCATTGTAAGTATTCAATAATGAGTAGTTACAGTGAGGGAAAAAAGTATTTGATCCCCTGCTGATTTTGTACGTTTGCCCACTGACAAAGACATGATCAGTCTATAATTTTAATGGTAGGATTATTTGAACAGTGAGAGACAGAATAACAAGAAACAAATCCAGAAAAACGCATGTCAAAAATGTTATAAATTGATTTGCATTTTAATGAGGGAAATAAGTATTTGACCCCTCTGCAAAGCATGACTTAGTACTTGATGGCAAAACCCTTGTTGGCAATCACAGTGGTCAGATGTTTTTTGTAGTTGGCCACCAGGTTTGCACACATCTCAGGAGGGATTTTGTCCCACTCCTCTTTGCAGATCTTCTCCAAGTCATTAAGGTTTTGAGGCTGACATTTGGCAACTCGAACCTTCAGCTCCCTCCACAGATTTTCTATGGGATTAAGGTCTGGAGACTGGCTAGGCCACTCCAGGACCTTAATGTGCTTCTTCTTGAGCCACTCCTTTGTTGCCTTGGCCGTGTGTTTTGGGTCATTGTCATGCTGGAATACCCATCCACGACCCATTTTCAATGCCCTGGCTGAGGGAAGGAGGTTCTCACCCAAGATTTTATGGTACATGGCCCCGTCCATCGTCCCTTTGATGCGGTGAAGTTGTCCTGTCCCCTTAGCAGAAAAACACCCCCAAAGCATAATGTTTCTACCTCCATGTTTGACGGTGTGGATGGTGTTCTTGGGGTCATAGGCAGCATTCCTCCTCCTCCAAACACGGCGAGTTGAGTTGATGCCAAAGAGCTCGATTTTGGTCTCATCTGACCACAACACTTTCACCCAGTTCTCCTCTGAATCATTCAGATGTTCATTGGCAAACTTCAGACGGGCCTGTATATGTGATTTCCTGAGCAGGGGGACCTTGCGGGCGCTGCAGGATTTCAGTCCTTCACGGCGTAGTGTGTTACCAATTGTTTTCTTGGTGACTATGGTCCCAGCTGCCTTGAGATCATTGACAAGATCCTCCCGTGTAGTTCTAGGCTGATTCCTCACCGTTCTCATGATCATTGCAACTTCACGAGGTGAGATCTTGCATGGAGCCCCAGGCCGAGGGAGATTGACAGTTATTTTGTGTTTCTTCCATTTGCGAATAATCGCATCAACTGTTGTCACCTTCTCACCAAGCTGCTTGGCAATGGTCTTGTAGCCCATTCCAGCCTTGTGTAGGTCTATAATCTTGTCCCTGACATCCTTGGAGAGCTCTTTGGTCTTGGCCATGGTGGAGAGTTTGGAATCTGATTGATTGATTGCGTCTGTGGACAGGTGTCTTTTATACAGGTAACAAGCTGAGATTAGGAGCACTCCCTTTAAGAGTGTGCTCCTAATCTCAGCTCTTTACCTGTATAAAAGACACCTGGGAGCCAGAAATCTTTCTGATTGAGAGGGGGTCAAATACTTATTTCCCTCATTAAAATGCAAATCCATTTATAACATTTTTGAAATGCGTTTTTCTGGATTGTTTTGTTGTTATTCTGTCTCTCACTGTTCAAATAAACCTACCATTAAAATTATAGACTGATCATTTCTTTATCAGTGGGCAAACGTACAAAATCAGCAGGGGATCAAATACTTTTTTCCCTCACTGTATATTTTGATAGATTTTATTTCCGTGTCATACACCAATTTTGTATAGATGTTTCTGTATGATTTACTATATATATATTTTTTTTTCTTCTAGATTTTGTGAGTCACCATCCAGTGACTCTGATCTGGCAGGTGGCCGTGGCCGTGGTAAAAGGATGCGACTGGCCATTCCGGATCGACCCTGTGTTGAACCTGGGCTCGCCAAGGTCCGAGGGCTGCCACATAAGAGCCGTGGCGGGGGCATTCACAGCAAGAGCCGAAGAGGAAGCCTCAATCTGATCAATAACTGCAGAACACCCCCCTTTTTCACAGTTGAGGAGATCAAGCCAAACTCCATCCCATCTGGCAAGAGGAAAAACAAACCACCGGCTGATCTGGATTTGAGTTTAGTCGCAGATGACATGAAGAATGGAAACGGGAAGAGGATCCGTGCCAAGTCCCGGAGTGCTCCTTCCACGCCACAGGGAAAGTTGGATCCTACCTTTATGGATCCGGCATGCACCTCTCCCATACTGATAGACTGCCCCCATCCGAACTGTAACAAGAAATACAAGCATATCAATGGGCTGCGGTACCACCAGACACATGCACACTTAGATGTGGACCGGAAGCCAGAGTTTGAGGCTGAGAGTGAGGACAGACTGTCTGACTGTGAGGAGTCCCTCAGTAACATGACTTTCGACTGCTCCGAGATTACCAATAGCTCATCAAAGAAGCCCAGCCCTCTATATAAGGTTTCTACAATAGGGTCTCCAAAAAGCAGACGATTAATGTTCAATAGTGACCATAGTCCCATGGCAAATTCTAAAATGAGGAGGAATTCGTTGATCAAAGAGGGACTCATTGATGACTTGAGTAACTTACCAATCATCTCGAACATGACGGTGGTACTGGAAAATTGCCTTGTTACTGATAGGAACTCTTCTGTCGAGATGCCTAAGCTTGAAGCCGAGGGTTTGATCGATAAGAAGGGAGTGTGTGATAAAGGGAAAAAGGTTAATGGGAAAGTTGAGAAGTGTTCATCTAAATCTAGGACCAACAGGCCTATAGCTCCTGCTCCCCCGAAGCTGATTGCAATCCCCAACACTGTGTTCTCCACTAACACAACGGAGGCCAACACCCAGCAGTCCTCCCCATCAGCAGCTGTTGGTGTCACCACAACAAAGAACCTCTCACTTAAACCCATCAAGCCAAAGTTAAACATCATGATAGAGCCAAGTCTGGTGAAAACCCTAGTCACTTGCAAGGAGACCAGGAACAAAGAGAAACGAAGATTAAAAGACAAACACAATAAAGACACAAGGACCTCTAATGGCGATAGCATTCAGCTAAAGATGGAGGAGGGAAAGGTGGTGGGAAAAGAAACTTCTGGAAGCCTTCTAAAAGAGCACTTGAGCAAACAAGATGTCATGAACAGTCTAACGGAGTCTCAAGAGAGTAGAATGGCCAGCATCAGAGCTGAGGCAGACAAAGTGTACACATTCACTGACAACTCTCCTAGTCCTTCCATAGGTAGCTCTTCAAGACTGGACTGTGGCTCCCTTGAAAGTGGAGATGGCACCACCACCAAGACTAACAGCCCGGCATACTCAGACATATCGGATGCAGGTGATGATGGGGGTTCAGACTGCCGTTCAGACACAAGGTCCAAAAGTCCAAGGTCCATCTCAGCCTCTGAGATGAACTCAAACAACAATCCCAATCTAAATCCAAAGACTCCTCCAGCTGCATCTATTCCTGCAGGGCCTGTCAAAGACCCCCAGTCTCCTTTTTACCACGGATATGACCCCTACTATATCCAGAATTACATGCAGACCGGCCAGTCAAACACAGCTGCTTTCCATAAGACCTCCACCCCTCAAGACAGTAAATGCAAAAAGGAAGACTCAAAGGAGGGCAACGAGGGGAGAAACACCCCGGAATTCTTTGATTCGAAGAAGACCGATGTCATCAACTCAAGTTCGCAGTCCCAGCTTCAGATGGCTATGACACAAACACACACAGCCCTAGCCCAGTCCTTGTACTATGGCCAGTATGCACGAGGTCTTTACATGGATCAGAAACTCTTAATTGCATCCAAGTGCTGTGATCAGCAGCAAATCACCAAGCAGAGAGGAGGTCAAGCAAACCGAGAACAAGACGAGATGAAACACATGATAACCTCGACAGCTGTATTATCTAAGGGGACAGACTCTGTGAAAACGTGCTGTGCCAAACCTGGGCTCTCGTTTGCAGAAATGGATGAGCGACCACAGACTCTGACCACACAGCCACAAGGGAAGCCGATGCTCGTCAATATGACGGAAAACCAGGGACTTGTCAAAGACAGTGATGAAATGAAATCATCCATGAATCCAAATAATCAGACAGATCTGGACTCAAATGTATCATTTTCAAATGTAAGTTTTTCACTCTGTCTTTAGCTATTTGGATGTTAGTGTTTACGGCTGTTGTGAAGGTCAGATTGTCAGATTGTTGCAGTATGTAAACTTTTAGTACTTTTGCCTAATGTTTTCAAGAAGACAGATTAGGAAGATATGTTTTATTTTATCGGTCACATCTAAGATGGCCATACTACTAAAGGACGTACCCCAATTTTAGATGTAAATGTAAACATTTAACATAAGTAGCTAAGTAAGGAACATTTGAAAAGAAAAGTTGGTTTTGATATAAATGTTGAATTTGCATTTGATGGATTGACTTGTCAATTCATAAACTGGGATTACTGGTATTCAATTAAATATTAAGCAAAACCCATCACAAACAACACTTTTCCTCATCGATTTAGCATGCAGAAGTCCAATCCTGGTCCCGCCCGAATCAATCCAATAATGTGGAGCAGCAAAGTGAAGAGCTTAGCCAGAGCTCAGAGGAGTTAAATGCTGACAGGTCTAAGGAGTGGGAGATGCCCTCTGAGCCAGTGACAAAGTTGGGAGTAGAGCTCAAAAAGGCCATGAACCAGAACGCCACCACATCAGACATAGAGGACTGTGATAGGCTAGAGGAGCAGCAGCCAATAGGGCTCATGTCTGAGGACTCACAGAGTGCCAGGGTGGCCGTATCACCAGCGATGAACCACCAACAACAACCCTACATCCAGTACCAGCATTCCTACCAATACCTACAGATGCGTGACCCCAGCAACAACTCTTACAGGGTCAAGTCACCCACCCTGGTGCATAACTACCCACGTAAGTCTGTATGGTTTGAGAAATGATGAATACAATGGGCAATAGAAACTGAAATCGAGTTGTTTACGTTTTCTTTTTGTTGCTTCATCATACTTTGTGTATTCAAGATTTAGAATTATATCACGTGTTCAAGATTCATGCCAAGTTTGTGTCGTGTTAAAGAGATCGCTATTTGGCCCGACATTGTGACTGACTGTTTTCTAAATTGTGTTTTGTACTGTACATGTTAGGTTTCCACTATCCTCTCTATGGGAAAACAGCAGGCAGAGAAGAGTCGGATTTGACTCAGAACAGCCGTAGTGTGAGCAGTAAGCCAGCCAGTGAGTCTACTGCCCTTGAGCTTCTGCAGCACCACAATCTGCCATACCATGGCAAATCCCCTGCGGTGAGTGTCCATCAAGTATAGGCAGAATTGAGGCTGAAAATATAAAGCAAAAGGGAATCCATGAAATGAACATGCATCAGTTTATGGCGGAAGAGAGAGGAAATTGAAATTAGCATCTGTGAGATACTAGCCCTATTGCAAGTGTGATCTGTGACATGCTGTTGAAATTTTGATATTAGTGTGCAACACATAATGTATATACAGTCCTACAAAGACATATATTTGAGTAAGAAATACCCCTTTTTGTCAATAGACTGGTGAGAAAGGATCCCTTGAAGGAGAGAGAGAGCCAGACCAGAAGAGGAACCATGTTCCCTTTGCCAGGCACCTTCACACTCATCATCATACACATCTTGGTATGAGCTACCCGCTCATGTCTGGGCAGTACGATCTTTTCCAAGGTAAACAAAAGTTTCCTGAATTATTGAAATGTAACGTGAAAATATATGTTTATGTGAAAATATTATATATTTCATTTCTAAAAACAAAAAGTCAGTGATTGAGAGGAAGGCATGCTTATTATGTCCATCATATCTTTACCTATACTAAAGCACAACAGTTCATTAGATATAGCTAGATCTCTCATCTCTCTTTTGAAGGGATAAGCTCTAGAGCCCTGGTTTCCAGCCAGCAGGTGTTGGCACACTCATCTTCAACTGGTATGTCCTCTTGGTTGGCCAATCCATACCCTCTCTATGACAGGCCTGTTGTTTGATCCTTTTGTCAAAAGAGAAAAGGATCAGTTCTGAATAATGACATGAGGTCGATTTAGCAAACTTTATTCAATTATCTTTATTGTGAGAGGTAGGTATTGTATATGAAATCAAATAAGATGTTCATGATCTCTGCTTCTACAGATAATGAAGGGAAGAAGTAAAACCATGTGACTGGCTCACATGAGGATAAGAAGATTTACAGGCATCAATTCCATGGTGTTATATTCATAGCCTCTATGGGAGGCAGAGACCAATTTCATTTGCGATTTAGTCAATATTTTATAAGGGTCACAGAGTAGTGGTATTGTAATATTGGTGGAGATATGTATCAAGTAACAAGACTTTGAAGTATTTTGCATTTGGATGCCTGTCTGAAAACACACGTGACAAAACCCATAGTGTCATAGAATCAGACATAAATTGCAGTGCTACAAAGTTTATATGCACATGTATCGTAGTGTAATCATATGGTTGAATGTACTGAAATGTATAAAATCCCGATGTTTTTTCCATTGGGAAACTGCAGTTGAAGTGCAAGAGTCTATAAAGTGGTCCTCCCAGTATTACTTAATTACATTTGCATACTGACTGTAGCCACGTGTTGATTGTATTGTCTTGTGTGAGAGTAAATCTTCACATTTTACCAGTGCCATAGAATTGTGGTGTATATATTCTGTATAGTTACATGGCATAGTATTAAATGCTTATTATTTATGTTGGTTTTAATTTCAATGCATTGTATTGTGATTTACATTACAGCACATTACTTGCATAGTTCCAGTGGTTGTTCTATCACTTGAATAGTGCTATAAACTCTGTTTACAAGTATTGACATCTCTGGAGAAACTCTTCAATGAAGTTGCATGATCAGTGTAATTCACACAGTGTATCAAGTTACTTTGGAATCAATTAAACATTGAAACTGCTGTTGCTTTTTTTTTATACTGTTTATGCCTTAATTAATATGTCTGGCAATCAGAATTAAAGGAAAGGGTGTTTATATACATGATGTGTTCTGTCTATTTTGTCCTTTATAATACTGATATACTCTCTTCCAGGGAAAAATCTTCCACATACAGTGAGGGAAAAAAGTATTTGAACCCCTGCTGATTTTGTACGTTTGCCCACTGACAAAGAAATGATCAGTCTATAATTTTAATGGTAGGTTTATTTGAACAGTGAGAGACAGAATGACAACAAAAAAATCCAGAAAAACGCATGTCAAAAATATTATAAATTGATTTGCATAAATTGATTTCTGGCTCCCAGGTGTCTTTTATACAGGTAACGAGCTGAGATTAGGAGCACACGCTTAAAGGGAGTGCTCCTAATCTCAGCTTGTTACCTGTATAAAAGACACCTGTCCACAGAAGCAATCAATCAATTAGATTCCAAACTCTCCACCATGGTCAAGACCAAAGAGCTCTCCAAGGATGTCAGGGACAAGATTGTAGACCTACACAAGGCTGGAATGGGCTACAAGACTATCGCCAAGCAGCTTGGTGAGAAGGTGACAACAGTTGGTGCGATTATTCGCAAATGGAAGAAACACAAAATAACTGTCAATCTCCCTCGGCCTGGGGCTCCATGCAAGATCTCACCTCGTGGAGTTGCAATGATCATGAGAACGGTGAGGAATCAGCCCAGAACTACAAGGGAGGATCTTGTCAATGATCTCAAGGCAGCTGGGACCATAGTCACCAAGAAAACAATTGGTAACACACTACGCCGTGAAGGACTGAAATCCTGCAGCACCCGCAAGGTCCCCCTGCTCAAGAAAGCACATATACAGGGCCGTCTGAAGTTTGCCAATGAACATCTGAATGATTCAGAGGAGAACTGGGTGAAAGTGTTGTGGTCAGATAAGACCAAAATCGAGCTCTTTGGCGTCAACTCAACTCGCCGTGTTTGGAGGAGGAGGAATGCTGCCTATGACCCCAAGAACACCATCCACACCGTCAAACATGGAGGTGGAAACATTATGCTTTGGGGGTGTTTTTCTGCTAAGGGGACAGGACAACTTCACCGCATCAAAGGGACGAGGGACGGGGCCATGTACCATAAAATCTTGGGTGAGAACCTCCTTCCCTCAGCCAGGGCATTGAAAATGGGTCGTGGATGGGTATTCCAGCATGACAATGACCCAAAACACACGGCCAAGGCAACAAAGGAGTGGCTCAAGAAGAAGCACATTAAAAGGTCCTGGAGTGGCCTAGCCAGTCTCCAGACCTTAATCCCATAGAAAATCTGTGGAGGGAGCTGAAGGTTCGAGTTGCCAAACGTCAGCCTCGAAACCTTAATGACTTGGAGAAGATCTGCAAAGAGGAGTGGGACAAAATCAGTCGTGAGATGTGTGCAAACCTGGTGGCCAATTACAAGAAACATCTGACCTCTGTGATTGCCAACAAGGGTTTTGTACTAAGTCATGTTTTGCAGAGGGGTCAAGTACTTATTTCCCTCATTAAAATGCAAATCAATTTTATAACATTTCTGACATGCGTCTTTTCTGGATTTTTTTGTTGTTATTCTGTCTCTCACTGTTCAAATAAACCTACCATTAAAATTATAGACTGATCATGTCTTTGTCAGTGGGCAAACATACACACAACCAAGCCTATATGAAAATTGCTAAAAAGCAACAAATTTGAAGTTTTGGAATGGCCTCGTCAAAGTCCAGACCTAATCCCAACTGAGATGTTGTGGCAGGACTTGAAATGAGCAGTTCATGCTTGAAAACCCACACATTACTGAGTTAAAGCAGTTCTGCATGGAAGAGTGGGCCAAAATTCCTCCACAGCGACGTGAGAGACTGATCAACAACTACAGGAAGCATTTGGTTGGAGTCATTGCAGCTAAAGGTGGCACAACCAGTTATTGAGTGTAAGGGGCAATTACTTTTTCACACAGGGGAATTGAGTGTTGCATAACTTTGTTTATGAAATTAATATGTAATTGTTGTGTTATTTGTTCACTTATGTTCCCTTTATCTAATATTAGGTTTTGGTTGAAGATCTGATAACATTCAATATCACAAATATGCAAATGTAGAGAAAATTAGAAAGGGGGCAAATACTTTTTCATAGCACTATATATGGAAATATAATGTAATTCAACTCATACCAATGAAACATACACTACCGATCAAAAGTTTTAGAACACCTACTCATGCAACGTTTTTTATTTATTTTTTAAACTATTTTCTACATTGTAGAATAATAGTGAAGACATCAAAACTATGAAATAACACATATGGAATCATGTAGTAACCAAAAAAGTGTTAAACAAATCAAAAATATTTTATACAGTGGGGAAAAAAAGTATTTAGTCAGCCACCAATTGTGCAAGTTCTCCCACTTAAAAAGATGAGAGAGGCCTGTAATTTTCATCATAGGTACACGTCAACTATGACAGACAAAATGAGAAAAAAAATCCAGAAAATCACATTGTAGGATTTTTAATGAATTTATTTGCAAATTATGGTGGAAAATAAGTATTTGGTCAATAACAAAAGTTTCTCAATACTTTGTTATATACCCTTTGTTGGCAATGACACAGGTCAAACGTTTTCTGTAAGTCTTCACAAGGTTTTCACACACTGTTGCTGGTATTTTGGCCCATTCCTCCATGCAGATCTCCTCTAGAGCAGTGATGTTTTGGGGCTGTTGCTGGGCAACACAGACTTTCAACTCCCTCCAAAGATTTTCAATGGGGTTGAGATCTGGACACTGGCTAGGCCACTCCAGGACCTTGAAATGCTTCTTACGAAGCCACTCCTTCGTTGTCCGGGCGGTGTGTTTGGGATCATTGTCATGCTGAAAGACCCAGCCACGTTTAATCTTCAATGCCCTTGCTGATGGAAGGAGGTTTTCACTCAAAATCTCACGATACATGGCCCCATTCATTCTTTCCTTTACACGGATCAGTCGTCCTGGTCCCTTTGCAGAAAAACAGCCCCAAAGCATGATGTTTCCACCCCCATGCTTCACAGTAGGTATGGTGTTCTTTGGATGCAACTCAACATTCTTTGTCCTCCAAACACGACGAGTTGAGTTTTTACCAAAAAGTTCTATTTTGGTTTCATCTGACCATATGACATTCTCCCAATCCTCTTCTGGATCATTCAAATGCACTCTAGCAAACTTCAGACGGGCTTGGACATGTACTGGCTTAAGCAGGGGGACACGTCTCGCACTGCAGGATTTGAGTCCCTGGCGGCGTAGTGTGTTACTGATGGTAGGCTTTGTTACTTTGGTCCCAGCTCTCTGCAGGTCATTCACTAGGTCCCCCCGTGTGGTTCTGGGATTTTTGCTCACCGTTCTTGTGATCATTTTGACCCCACGGGGTGAGATCTTGCGTGGAGCCCCAGATCGAGGGAGATTATCAGTGGTCTTGTATGTCTTCCATTTCCTAATAATTGCTCCCACAGTTGATTTCTTCAAACCAAGCTGCTTACCTATTGCAGATTCAGTCTTCCCAGCCTGGTGCAGGTCTACAATTTTGTTTCTTGTGTCCTTTGACAGCTCTTTGGTCTTGGCCATAGTGGAGTTTGGAGTGTGACTGTTTGAGGTTGTGGACAGGTGTCTTTTATACTGATAACAAGTTCAAACAGGTGCCATTAATACAGGTAACGAGTGGAGGACAGAGGAGCCTCTTAAAGAAGAAGTAACAGGTGTGAGAGCCAGAAATCTTGCTTGTTTGTAGGTGACCAAATACTTATTTTTCACCATAATTTGCAAATAAATTCATTAAAAATCCTACAATGTGATTTTCTGGATTTTTTTTCTTCAATTTGTCTGTCATAGTTGACGTGTACCTATGATGAAAATTACAGGCCTCTCTCATCTTTTTAAGTGGGAGAACTTGCACAATTGGTGGCTGACTAAATACTTTTTTTCCCCACTGTATTTGAGATTATTCAAATAGCCACCCTTTGCGTTGATGACAGCTTTGCACACTCTTGGCATTCTCTCAACCAGCTTCATGAGGTAGTCACCTGGAATGCATTTCAATTAACAGGTGTGCCTTCTTAAAGCGTTTGAGCCAATCAGGTGTGTTGTGACAAGGTAGGGGGGTATACAGAAGATAGCCCTATTTGGTAAAAGACCAAGTCCATATTATGGCAAGAACAGCTCAAATAAGCAAAGAGAAATGACAGTCCATCATTACTTTAAGACAGGAAGGTCAGTCAATACGGAACATTTCAAGAACTTAAAAAGTTTCTTTAAGTGCAGTCACCAAAACCATCAAGCACTATGATGAAACTGGCTCTCATGAGGACCGCCATAGGAATGGAAGACCCAGAGTTACCTCTGCTGCAGAGGATAAGTTCATTAGAGTTACCAGCCTCAGAAATTGCAGCCCAAATAAATGCTTCACAGAGTTCAAGTAACAGACACATCTCAACATCAACTGTTCAGAAGAGACTGTGTGAATCAGGCCTTCATGGTCGAATTGCTGCAAAGAAACCACTACTAAAGGACACCAATAATAAGAAGAGACTTGGTTGGGCCAAGGATATTTGTCCTTTGGTCTGGAGTCCAAATATGAGATTTTTGGTTCCAACCGCCGTGTCTTTGTGAGACGTGGTGTGGATGAACGGATGATCTCCGCATGTATATTTCCCACCTTAGAGCATAGAGGAGGAGGTGTTATGGTGTGGGGGTGCTTTGCTGGTGACACTGTCTGTGATTTATTTAGATTTCAAGGCACACTTAACCAGCATGGCTACTACAGCATTCTGCAGCGATACGCCATCCCACCCCATAGGAGAACCCTTTGAAGAACCCTTTTTGGTTAAAGGTACAACCCCTTTGGTTCCAGTTCTTTCATTTTTTGTATTCCTTGTCCTAAAATCAGTCCATGCGAGTTAATAATAATACTACCATCACCAAAGATGAAAACAACAAATAAAATAGATGGTACTGCAGTGATAGAGAGTTAAAAACGCATATAAGATAAGATGTACTTTATTGTCGATTAACTTGCCTTCGAACGGA